GATGCCTAAGTGTACATTGGTGATATATACGGGGATGTGAAGAGAGAACATTTGGATTAAGAGTGGAGAGGTGATTAAGAGTGTGTTTGGTAGGGATTTTTGGCGGAAGAATTGATTTTTGAATAGTGATATGATAGGAAATGTGTGATTAAAAAAGAAGAAAAAATTATTAATGTGATGGAAAATATTATTTTATTGAAAAATGTGTAATTGAAAATGAGAATTGATTTGGGAATCAATTCTCAAATCACTACCAAACACCTCCTAAATATTGAAAAATTAAACATGTACCTATTTTTTAACGTCTCACATCATTAATCAAGTACACAATTTTTATTTCAAAAATCAAATGCACCACATCTACCCATCTCAAAGCTCTTACCCCATACCCCCCACGTCTACACCAACCACACAAAGAACAAGTTAAGCATGTTGTCGGGTCTATCGTGATGATGATTGTGAACTATGCCGACAACACGAGCACAAAAAACCTTCGTACCATATCAATTAAGGGAATCAAAGTGCTGCTCAACAGCTTTCCCTTAGCTTGTGTTGGCAGCAACATTGCCATGGCCAACACTGCTCAACCTTCGTACCATTTTTATAGTACTTCTAGTTTTGCTAACGACAAGTCTTGACAACAGTGACGCCACTAGTATAGTGTTTGCTTCTTTGGAAGCAAATCGAACTTGAAGGAGTTGAAGCGGGTTCAAACTCGTTTGGTGGAGTCGAATCTAAGGGTATCAATGAAGGACATGTCAAGTTTAGTGGTTGAACGTAGATAGGGGTGGTAGATTTTAGCCCTGTTGTGTCTCCGTTGAGATTTAGAATTCGGTGGCGTCATATAGGAATAAATGGTGAGTAGGAGATGTTGGTTTGTCTATTTGAGGTGGGGACAACAATCTATACGTCTTGTATGATGCAGTTTGCAATTTCTTGTGAATCTGTCGGTGCAAGTGGTGGGACAACGTTGTGGTGGCACTGCAAATATTGTTATGCGCCTGTAGCTGGTTAGAGTTACAGGTAGAGGGATGGTTGCGCGGTGGAGGTAAAGGTGATTGTGGATTTGAGGAGGTAGCGATGGCGGTTGTTAGAGCAGGTGGTGGTAGATTTGAGAAGGACGTGGTGGCGAGGCAATGGTAGTGGGGTGGTAGCGGCGCTTAGGCGATGTTGGTGGAATGGAGCGGGGTTGGATGAAAAACGTTTGTGACCAATTATTTGGATAATTATGATCGATAAAATTGGTACTTATGACATAAGAAAATGTGTGATTTGCGATCCACAAATTTTGTTTTGTGAACGTGGCTTTATGTGATTCGCGATTAGTGTATGACTGTGACCATAATTTGTGTACAATTGTAATCATGGTCTGATTAATTAAATTACGGGTCACAAAACTTTTGTCAATGGTCACGCCACTTGACACTTGAAAAAAAAAATTGTTGTTTTCGAAAATGTATCTTGAATTTTTGTAGTTGTGTATTTTTCTCTTTGAATAGTTATGTGCAACAAGCGTGACGGTTTAATTGAATTTTTGTATGAAACACATATGTTAAGAGTTGAATATGACAAAACCCTTCTTCAAATAAAATGACCACGTACAAAATGGTGACAATTTAACGAAATTCATATGTCAAACATTTTATGACATTTTTGTAAGTGCTTAGATACTAGGTCAATATAAAATTTATTACATATAATTTTTTATAGAAAATAAGTTTTTTATTAGATAAATAATGAACCCCTATTTGATAAGAATTGAAATTTTAATTTAATTTAAGTCAAAGTCGATAGTTAATTTTGACTATGTATTTTATGGGACTCGCAACTTTTTGACTATATATTTTACCAACTTTTATCAAACTATACTAAAAATCTTACTGTAACCCCCATAAATTAGGGATGAAATATATAAAGAATAATGTTATTGATACATAATAGAGTTACATAATTGTTTATACATAGATTGGGTGTCAAAAAGAGAGTGTGGATTATTTATTTATTTTTAAATTTAATTGGAGAAACTTTGACCCGTATAAAATTAATTGCATATAATTTTTTATGGAAATAAGTTTTTTATTAGATAAATAATGAACCCCAATTTTATAAGAATTAGAATTTTAATTTTGATTTAAGTCGATGTCGATAATTAATTTTAACTAAATATTTAATGGAACTCACAACTTTTTAATTACTAGTAAGAAGAGCATCCAATGTACATACTATAATATAGCTGACTATATGATAGCATAAATATAAAAAACAATTGTTTCTCTTACGCATTAGTTATATTAAACTTAAAATACTTGAAAATGATGATAGGTGAAAAAAATAATATTAAGAGATTTGATTCGAAAGTTATTTTATAGACTTTGCATTTGAAGTTGAAGGTCTCTCTACTCTTTTTTTTTTTTTTTAAA